GTTATGCACAAACAATGAATCATGGAACACTTCATCTAAAACTAATGATGTAATGTATGGGGATTAACATAAGAATAAAAAAAATAATAAAAAAAAAAAAAAAAGAAAATGACGCTGAAGCAAAGTGATATGAAGTCTCTTGCCCCAAGTTGCATGGCAAGTGAGTAGCAGAGCCAGAATTTTAACATAGGCAATCTAACCGCCTGTATTATACAATATGCCTGAGATACCCTTAACTGGGGTACTGTGCTAGACACTTTATATGGATATCAGCTCATATTATCCTTACAAGAATCTCGCGGTACTATTTACAGATGAGAAAACTGAGCATTAAAAAAATTAGACAGCTTTCCTTTAATCATAACCATTAAGTACTGGAACAAGATTTAAATCCAGGCAGTCTGATTCCTCTCCTCCAAACTAATACAGAGCTCATGCTCAGAGCTGTGCTAACTAGCAGAATCCTTATACTGGGGAAGAAAGCATAAACTAATATGACCTTACTGTTTTCTAATAAACTTTCCATTTTGCCTTCTAATTCAGCTGGAGCACACTGGAATATCAAGTTAAAACAGCTTCCCAGGAGTGAACAGGTGGGTTTGTAAAACTAGATTTGTTTTGTCTGGTGAGTCATCTTTGTCTTGTGTCTGGTAAAAATGAAGTTGTTTTGTCTCACTGTGGCCCTGAGAGGTATTTAAGGTTATATCCAGAGATGTCTTGAGTTTGTCATCTTTGTCTGACTATAAAAATAAAAACCAGATGGCATGCTGCAGGTATGAGCATGATGGTTGAGTGTATGGAGGTGGAAGGTATGAGAGGTCAAGTGAGTGACTGGAAGTTTCTTAGCCATATACTATTGTAATGCCTTCCCTTCACACACACACACACACACACACACACACACACACACACACACATTTTCTCTCTCTCTCACTTAAATCCACTGGAAACAGCTGCCTATCAGCACCTATACCAAGCATTTTCCTATTCCTCAGATACCCACCAGCAAGGTCAACCCTAGAAAGAATTATAAAATACAATACATATCACCCCTTCTCCACCATCTCTGTTTGTCTTCCTTCTGTCCTTGTTTCGTGGTGTCTACAAGCTGCCCTCTTGAGAACTGTAAATCCCTCACAGAGACTCCTGCCCTAAATACAGCTCTCTGTCCCTGCTTATGTTTAACCAACCCATTCATTTATTCAACAAATATGTATGGAATGGCTACTATGAGCCAGGCACTGTTCTAGGCTCTTGAGATTCTTTGGTGAGCAAAACAGACAAAAATCCCTGCCCTTGAGAAGCTTACATTTTAGCAAAGCTAGGCAGAAAATAAACAGGTCATATTTTAAATGAGTACATTTAGTCTATTTGTTTGTTATTAATACTGTGTAAAACCAGAGAAAACTTGAGTAGGGAAGAAGGATCAAGAGAGCTGAGGGGAGAAGGCAAAGGTGTGGTTTGAAATATTCAATAGAGTGATCAGAAGAGGTCTCACTGAGAATAAATTGGAGCAAAGCCTTGAGTTTGGGACAGAATGAGCAAGTGAATAAACTAGGAAAGAACATTCCAAGCATGAAAAGGAACAAGTACAAAGGTCCTTCAGAATGTGTCTGAAGGGGCGCCTGGGTGGCTCAGTCGTTAAGCGTCTGCCTTCGGCTCAGGTCATGATCCCAGGGTCCTGGGATCGAGCCCCGCATCGGACTCCCTGCTCGGCGGGAAGCCTGCTTCACCCTCTCCCACTCCCCCTGCTTGTGTTCCCTCTCTTGCTGTGTCTCTCTCTGTCGAATAAATAAATAAAATCTTTAAAAAAAGATTAAAAAAAAAAGAATGTGTCTGAAGGGTTTGAGGAGCTGCAAAGAGACAGAGTTCTGGAGCAGAGTGAGTGAGTGAGGGGAGAGGAGGAGGAGATGAGGTTATTAGCAAGATCAAGGCAGCCACAGCTCTAGACCTTATAGACCAATGCAAGGACTTTGGATGTTAAATTGGGTGCAAATGTTACATTTTCTCTTCAATTTAATTGATACAGACAAAATATTTCTCCTCATTTAAGAAAACATATGGAAACCTAAGAAATAACATAATAGAGAGGACCAATGGCCTATTTAACTCAGTCTTCTACATCTAAAATGTTTCCAGTTTGCTGAATGGAAGAGCCTTGTGCTATATCCTAATCGCTAACCTCCCCATAAAAATCTACTAGACATTTATGTAGAAATGCATATAATTCCGTCTTAAAACATATTCTTTTAGTTTGCATAAACTCTTGTGAGACGATGACCTGTGTCGAAGATAGGAGGTTCCAACCCATCAGGGTTACCTGTTGGGTCCTCCATTTATGTAGCAGTCCCTACCACCATGCCAGCCCTCTGTCACCATGAACCCAAGACTTCTATAAAGCTAAAAAACAAACACAGTTGGGCACCTGGGTGGCTCAGTTGGTTAAGCGACTGCCTTCGGCTCAGGTCATGATCCTGGAGTCCCAGGATCGAGTCCCGCATCGGGCTCCCTGCTCGGCAGGGAGTCTGCTTCTCCCTCTGACCCTCCCCCCTCTCATGTGCTCTCTCTCTCTCTCTCATTCTCTCTCTCAAATAAATAAATAAAATCTTTAAAAAAAAAAAAAAAAAACACAGTTTCCAATAACAATTTGAGGATTTCGTTTCTCTAAAATATTTAAGCTTTCAAAAAGCGTTCCTGAATCAATACAGCCATGAAATCTAGGGACATAATTTAATCATAATAAATAGTAATAATTATCTTCCTTAGGGTTTTTAGTGCTTGGATGATTTATGGTATTGTATTATCTTCTCCAATTGATGGAGGAAAGAGGCACCTATTGTTAACTCTGGGTTACATGTGATGACATCACTAAGGCAACAAGAAAGGAAAAGAGAAAGTGTTAACTGTATTATAGGACAGAGTTTCTCAACCTCGGCACTACTGACATTTTGGACAAGATAATTTTTGTTGGGAAGTCAGGGGTACCTATTCTGGGAATTGCAGAATGTCTAGAAGCATCCCTGGCTGATGCTAAGTAACACTAAGATGCCAGTAGCTCCTTCTCAATCATGGCAATCAAAAATGTCTCCAGGTTTTGCTAAATGCAGAATCATCCCCAGTTGAGGCTGACTGTCATGGGGTGATCCAGTTGTGCCATCCATAACTCTTAGCTCATGCTCATCCTCAAAAACTATCTAAAAACAGTAAGGAGGCTGATATGTCTGTGCCTTTGGAAACTACAACTGAAGTAGCAATTAAAAAGTCAACAGACGTAAAAAATAAATTTCAGAATTCCGGTTACATAGGATCCAACCTTAATGCCTTTGCAGTGACTATGTGACTATTTTGCATAGACAAGAGACTGTTTTCTATAAATTGGTGTTTGTTAAGGTGATCAAGAAATGTAAGCTATACGAAAAAAATTTTATCAACTGCTGAAGGAACCAGAAGGCTGAATCTTTTATTTCCTTGGTCAAAAGGTGAGCTTATCCCTTCCCCTCTTCTTTTAAGTGAAATAAAGACAGAGTTTGAAAATGCACCTACCCATTTGGCTCAATAGTTAAGTCTTGTCTGGCTATAGTGTAAAAATAGACATTCTTCTGTCTGAACACGAAAATAGTACTTCCCCAACAAAAGCCAAATGTCTTAGAGCTGCAAAAGATGTTTACTTTTATAAAAAAGCCTTTTCCTCTAGTGTGTATTTTGGGATCGTGTAGGTGTTCTAGTAGAAGTAAGCAGGTATATAAGACTTAGAGACAAAACCCTAAGAGTATGCTTCCCGCCGTAGATGAGGGAGTCTTGCACTAGTCACAACTTTCTGCATGTTAGGTTGGGAATATATGCTGGTGTAACATTTATCCTCCCCTCTTGAAAAGCTGTGGCTATATTGAAATAATGGTATTGACCATAACTGTCTAATCTTTCTGGAATACTTTATATTCATTCATTCATTCATTCATTCATTCACTCAACAAGCAGTTATTAAAGACCTACCATGCCCTTTGCAGGTCACACTGTCTCTCAACTCTGCTGTGATAGGGCAGAATTGGCCACAGTCGAGACATTAAAAAATGAATATGGTTTTGTTCCAATAAAATTTTTGTTTATAAAAAGGGTGCCACAGTTTGTCAACCCATGAAATAGGGAAAAAGGAATCAGGAGTTCAAGGGGGTCACCACTTTTAAATAGGATGATCAAGATGAGCTTCCTTGAGAAGGTAACATCCAGTCAAAAACTAGAAGGAGCTGAACAAGTCAGACTTGTGGTTTATGTGGAGGAAGAACATTCCAGATAGAGGGAGTGGCAAGTGCTGAAGTCCTGTGGCAGCAGTGTGTCTGGTGTGTTTTGAAGCATCGGGAAGAAGCTCTGTCTGGTTAAGGCACAATGAGTGAGTGACCCTACTTGTAACCACTCTCACTAAATGAAATATTTTACTACAGTGAGTAAGGGCTCAGAAAAAGACCTTTTCAAGGCACCTGGGTGGCTCAGTCGGTTAAGCGTCTGCCTTCGACTCAGCTTGTGATCCCAGAGTCCTGAGATCGAGCCCCGCATCAGTCTCTCTGTTCAGCAGGGAGTCTACTTCTCCCTCTCTCTCCACACCTCCCCCCTGCTCATGCTCTCTCTCTCTCTCTCTCCCTCTCTCAAATAAATAAATAAAATCTTTAAAGAAAAATAAAGAAATAGGCCATTAAGTGACATGGGAAAGATAAGCAGCATTGGTATGTTTTGTTTTGTCCTTATGAAGGCCTTGGTTCAACTTAATACTGAGAACAAAGGCTACGGGATGAAGGCAAGAATGCCTAACCATAGAGGTTTCCTCTAGGAATCTTTTACCAACACATTCTAATCCTCAGCAAAGCTAGCAGAATGAAGGTTTATAATCAAAAAGCAAATACTGCCTTTTTATTCACTTGGCTTGTTTATCCCTGAAGTGTTTTTAAGAGTCAACTGATGGTAGTATTTACAGAACCAGAAGGCAGGGCTACTATTTCTAAATTGTCAATAAACCTAACTTCTAAGAACTCTCTAACTCTTGATCTGGATGTTCTGCAAAGGTAGAATAATGTGAGCCTCCAGTTGCCATGAGAGCAAAGCCAGTCTGTGTTCTCCAGTCCACGGGCTCGCCCAGAGTAGGCCAGCACACCGGTCTGAGTAAGAACCTGTGGACACAGGCGAACCTTGGTGGTGATATATGTGTAAAATGGTTTTCATGTAATGTTTGATGGAGCCAGCTTGTAATGCAACTTGGAATAATAACTTTTCATTTATACCCCATCCTGTTCCACAAAAATATATTTATTATGAAAGGATAACAGACAAGAAATAGAGGGTAAAACAGAAGCCTCGGCAAAGCCACCAGAACCTTACTATCCTCTCAAGCCTTGCCCCATACCTTCCTCATCTTTACCTGTACTTTAGCCCTGCTGGAATTCTTCCAGTTGCCAGAATGCACAGTGCTGTCCCCTTCTGGTCGGGAATGTCTGTGCCCCATCCCTGTCATTCAGGTAACATATTCATCCTTGTGTTCAAAGAGCACTTCTGGGGCACCTGGGTGCTCGGTCTTTAAGCGTCTGCCTTCGGCTCAGGTCATGAT